GTGTGCGCCGCCGAAACGAGCACGCTTGCAGGAAGTGTTGTGCATAAAAACAAGAGGGCACCAAGCCACCGAGCCAGGGTTCCGGGGGCGAGCGAAGGAGCTGCTCTGACCTGGACACAGAGGGGATCCGGGCTCTGTCTTAACTTGGAGATGAACCAGAAGGTCATGTCAGGTTGGAAGATGAGCCGGCGCTGCAGACTCCCAGCAGCTGTGTTACCCGGGACCCGGCCGGCTTCTCCGCAGAGGAGGGTTCCCTGCCTTCCCACAGTCCGTACCCCGTCTTTGGCTCTGAGGTGGGGCAGACCTGCCCTCTGGAACTCACTCACTCAGGCGTCATGTTGGAGGTTTGGCGTGGAGTGAGTAACTGCTGGCTCTGGGCCGGCCTGGCTGAGCTCAGCGCCTGCTCCCAGCCCCTCCTGCCCCTCCTCCCCCTCCCCGCCCTCCCCTTCTGGGTTATTCTTAGCAAGAGGTGACCTCAGGGTGCTCCCACTGAGCAAAATTAACCCTGGAGGGAGTTGGTGGGTATAAATCTTCAGTGAGTAAGTACATAGAGCTACTAAATAGGCCATGAGCCCGGAAGGGCTGGTCATCCCCTAGGGTCTGCTGGGCCCGGGCAGGAACCCTCCCTCCGGGTACCCCAGCTGTGAGCAGCGCCAAGGACAAAGGCAGTCGCAGGGCTTGTCTGGGCTTGTGACCAGGCAGGAACCTGCCTCGGACATCTTCACTCCGTACTGGGCCGTCTTTGGGAGCTGGCGAACAGGAAGATGCCTCTTCCGCCCACCCCCGCTGCTCACACCCACACGCAGGCTCACACTCTTGGCCAGCAGAGACCAGCCCGGCATGCCACTGTCCCCTCCTCCCTGTCATGGGCACCCGCCAGCCCGCAGGCCCTGGCTTCAGGTGCCAGCTCCCTTCCTAAGCCCCGCCCTGCCCGGCAGCGGCTTCCTGTTTCCTGTTGCCGGCTCTGATCGACAGAAAGCAAAGCCCTTGGCTCTGAGGCCAGTGCAGCGGACGAGGCCATGCCCGGTCTCCGTGGGCCCCCCCCCTCCCTCCTCAGACCACCACAGCCTTACCCATTTCCCCGTGGGCTCCCCGGTATTTGGGTCAATCGCCCTCCTCAGCTATATTTTCTCTGTGTGCTTTTTGGACGAGATCTACACACTTTTTCAAACAGCCCTGCGCTCACATATTAACAAGTAAAATGTTGGACGCCCAGTTTTCGGGGTGGTGTGACCGGAGGGGGTGAGGAGGGACGAGCCTGTGGGCTTTGCGGGTGGGAGGTGTGGAGGCCATCCACTCTGAACCTCACTCAGCCTCTTCCTCTGAATGTGAGGGAGGCGGCAAAGCGGTCCCCCATCTCTCTCTCTCACAGGTTTGCCGTCAGCAACACCTGAGTCACTGCTGCGAAGGCCTTTGTAGGCATCAAGGGTTGCACAGCTCTGAGCATTTGTTCACGGCCTCTGTCCTCAGTGAGGTGGGTGCCCAGTGCCCTACGGCTCAGCTCAGTGATACCAGGCCGTTGGCACCAAACATCACATCCCGTGGAAAGCCAGCTCTTTCCACCTGCTTTTCCAACTGTCGGGGGTGAGAGGCTAGATTTTTGCCTTATTTTTTTTTTTAATTCCCAATCCATCAAGAAATGTAACTTTTGAGAAATACAAAATCATGCACTTGGATGTGGCCATAGTATCAAACTGATATAAAAGTTTCTAAACACTTATTCTCAAATTGTATAGAGACAGGTGACAGCACATGTCTTTAATTTCTCGGTGTTCGTTTTGATTAATTTTACAAACAGTTCAACAGGGAGCAGCAGTGTGGTTCGTGATGGCTGAGCTGGGCTGCCTTCGCAAGGCAGGCTTGACGGGCTGGGCACTGGGGCAGGCAGAGAAAAGGGAAGGCTGGGAAACACGCTTGATGTGTTCAAGGAGCAGCAAGAAGAGGTGGACACTGAGCACCAGCACAGGGGCAGGAGAGACCCCGTGGTGAGGAGCCAGATGGAACATTCCAGATCTTGTTCCATAAGAAACAGAGTTCCTGGAGATTCTTGAGCAGAGATGTGCCACGGGCTGTGTTAGGTAGAATGATGTGGGGGTCTCCTTTCTAGCTTCCTAGGTTGAAAGCTAAGTCTTATCGATCTGTGCGGCCTCCCCCAACCTGGTAGGTGCTCGGTAGGTATGAAGTATTTGTCCTGGGGGAGGAAGGGCTGGGGGTTGGGAAACCATCCCGGGGTCAGGATGGAATGAGTGGAAGGCACCCAGAGCAGATAGGCCTTGGGGGCACAGATTTCCTAACCTTGGGCCCGGGAGGGATATCGAGGACACTAACAGATGTAGCTCATGCAACCTTTGCACAATAAAGAGCCCAGCCCGAAGCCAGGTTTTCCTCTCTTGCTTCCCAGCACTTCTCCCTCTATTCCACCTGTTGGGACCCGAGCCCAGCTCCCTCCCCTTTCCAGCTTCGCTGGATGGCACACACTCAGCTGCTCCAAGCTCCCTGGCCAGTCGTTCTCAGGGCCACAGCGGCACCAGGTCCCCAGAAGCCTTCCCTGCTGTGCTCCTCTGCTGGGGAGGGAGGGAGGCGCCAGGCCAAGCATTTGCTCAAGCACAAGAGAACCAGATGGCCTGTAGGCCCGGGGACCAGGGGTTGACTGACCTCTCGCCGTAGCATGAATTTCCTCCTCGGCTGCCCAATCCCCACCCCCGCCCCGGGGCCTGCTGTCCAGGAAGGGCTGTGCTGGCTGCTTTCCTTGGGGTCAGTCTTGCTCTGCTTCCCCGATGTGCAAGGGGTCCTGCCCCAACAGCTGCCTCAGCCTCACGCCTTCCATCAGCCTTGCCTTCCCCACGCTCTCTCTCCTTTCCTGGGGCCTATCTTGAGATGCCAGCTAGAACACGGCCTGCGCGTTTGGACTCACTTTGCTGATGCAAAGCACCACCGGAGTGGCCGGGGCAGGTATGACTTCTGGCCACATTGTACCGACACGCAGAAGCTCAGAGGTATTCCGTCACTTGCCCAGGATCACACAGCTCCACTACGGTCAACCCAGTGCTGTTTCTTCTGTCAAACTGAGGTTGCTGTGGCCTCCTGAAGAGGAAGGTCTGGCCAGCAAGGACCGGACAGATCTCTGTTGAGCACTAGTTCTTTGGTGACTGAATCTATTGAATTCTCCCTGGGTCTAGGACAGCGGTTCTCAACCTGTGGGTCGCGATCCCTTTGGCGGTTGAACGGCCCTTTCACAGGGGTCGCCTAAGACCATCCTGCATATCAGATATTTACATTAGGATTCATCACAGTAGCAACATTACAGTTATGAAGTAGCAGCGAAAATAATTTTATGGTTGGGTCACAACATGAGGAACTGTATTTAAAGGGCCAGAAGGTTGAGAACCACTGGTCTAGGAGGAACGCATGCTCATCATCTCTGATTTTTGGAAGGGGGACCTGGTTACCCAGGTGGATTTAAACCCGGCCTGCTGGACTCCACATGCAGACTGTTCCTTCCACACTGGGCCCTGTTCCAGGCTGGGAACACATGACGCGCACTGCCCCTTCCCCACTCAGCCATACCTCTCACCTCTCGTGTGTACCTCTCTGGACACATTTCCACACACCTCCCTCCTGCCCCCAGGGCTGCACCCCACCTCGCAGTGACGTACCCTCCCGCTGGCTCCAGGGGCTCACAGGGAGGCGTCAAAGGGTTGCAAGGTCTTCATTTGCTATAGGTGGGGGCCCTTATCCCCAGCACCCAGATCGGGGACGGTGGGTCATGGGCACACGTGCAGGTGGCAGTCACGTGGTCTCTGACTCAGCCTGGCTCCCCACCCACTCCAGCTGGCACTGTGCCCGCCTTCTCCCACTAGGTGCCCTGTGGGTGGAGGTGAATGGAGGGGCACCCCGGGAACGCACCCCAGGATGCAGCCTGGAGTCTGCTGCAAGCTGGACATTCCTTTAAAGTCCCCTGTTTTATCTTTCAACTTCATGTGAATTTTTCATTCCAGGACATAAAACACTCATGTTTACGTTCATATTAAAATGCCTAAAATGAACAGTTAAATGCCCTCATTTCTACCCCCTCCCATCCCCTTCCTCTCCAAATCTTCGAGCAGAATTGGGAATGGTGCACTTCGACCATGCGGGTTCCCCAACCCCAGCTCTGAGAACCACCCGGGCCCAGCTGTTGCGGCCGCCCTCCCGCCCTCAGCTGTCTTTCATGCCAGCCCTTCACCCTGGCGCTGCCCAAGGGGAGGCTCTGCTCTGCTGAGAGCATTTCCTTGAAGGGCAGTCACAGATCCGGAGCTCTGGCTCCTCTCCTTACCTTCCTGCCTCAAGTTTCCCATTCGCAGCTGGAAGGGGCTAAATGAAAGGAGCCAGCTGTCTCTGGTGCTGGCAGATCATCATTGTCTGCCTCAGTTTAAGGCACAGGAAGGCAGGCTACAGCCCGCAGGCCTAGCCCTCCAGAGCAGGCCTCATCGTGGGCAACCTGAGCCCCTCCTAGACTCGGGGGCAGCAGCACCTGGCTGCCTGGGGCTTGCGGGCAGCCTGTGCCTGCAGTTCCGTGGGACTTCACCAGGACCAGTTCTCCCTGACACAGGGCCTTCTTAGCCTGCATGTCTTCCCTACTCACTCTGATCAGACCCCCTACCTCAGTTCCCACCCTCCGGTCCTCGGGGTGGGTGTGTGGATGGGGAGGGCGGGGCCAGCGCAGGCAGGTTAGGCAGAAGCAAGTTCTGCCCTGTCGGGATTCTTGCTGCCCTTTCAGAAGGAAGGCGGGAGTCAGGGGCCTGGTTCAAGTCCCTGCTCTGCCCGAACCCACAGTTTCCATGTAGAAAAGGGAAATCGTGAGAGTGCTTGAGAGGCTCAAAGAACGGAGAAGCGACCCCATCGCAGTGTCTTCACATACCCAGGGGCCTGCAAGACACCCATCACTGCGCATGTGCATGTGTGCGTGTGCACGTGTGCGCGTGTGTGCGTGTGTGCTGTGGGGTTGCCACGACACTCACCAGGAGGTGCTTGCGCTTTCTCCCAGGCCGCCCCACCTTCCGTGCAGTGGTGCTGGGCTCCTGCCGCTCCTCCTTGCCACGCGCCTCTTCCTGCTCCTCTCCCTCCTGTGGGCACAGACACAGCCTGTGAAGCCACGGCTGGATCCAACAGGCCTCCTCCCCGCCCCATCCCCACCACAGCCCCACTCCGGGCCTGTGCCATGTGGTCCCCCCATGGCAGGGATAAACGTCACCCCCTTCTGCCAGGAAAAGCTTGAGCCACCCTGAGCGCCTCATTTAAATATACCCTCGGGGGGCTTAGGGGCAGCCCCAGATACCCCGTGCAAAGGCAGCTCTCCCTCCTGGTGGCCACATTTCTGAACTGCAGAATCACGGCACGCACTGACCAAGATGGTGTTTTTGGATATGAATTTATTTATATGGAAGAAAGTCTTACACAGCACAAAATTAAATTAGAGGTCTATTTAATGAATCATCTTTATTGAAAAGAATAACATCACAAAGAAAGCAATATTAAATTTAGTAATGAATAGTGGCAGTACATGTAACACTTGAAACGAGGACTAGTAGGCACTGAGGCCTTTTGCAGACGCTGTAAATATAATAGATCCTGAAGGGTCTGCCACGTGGTGCTAGCATTGCATATGCCTGTCACCTCCCAGGATCATCTCAGGGTCAATGTCCTGGTTCACCTTGACCCCCCTCAGTTATTATTATGAGGTCCACTAGGCAGCCAATGAAAGGGGCGACTGAGATCAGAAAGACCAGCGGCTCTGGAGGGCTGTGTGGAAGCATGAGCATTTACAGTGATTCCACTGCCACGCGTGTAATGTGGCTGTTCCCACCGGCAGCCTCTGTCCCGCCCTGCTCATCATCTAGCAGCACACCCGCTGCTCACCTCTCGGCAGGCCCCACCCGGGCAGGCCATGCATGTGAGCATGTGTGTGTGAGTGTGTGTGTACGGGGTCCTGTGGCTACCTCTCTGCAGACCTGGTACTCAGGCGGTCCAGACAGGACTCTGCTGGCCGGAGAAGCCAATTCGTTTCACTGAATTTCACAATCACAGGCGGGCCCTGGGAGGCCAGCCAGCCAGCTGGCAAAGGCTGCACATGCTTCGTGTCCCAGGGGGCCTGGGCAAGTGGCTGGCTAGATCCATCAAGTTCATCCCCTCTACTCAAACACCAACTTGAGACATCTGCTCAGCGGATGCTGGGTCAGGAGCATCCGGTGTAGGTTCTGAAGGAGCACGTACGTCTGGCTGGCTGGCTCTGGGGGTGGGCTTGGTGGGATGCATCTCTCCTGGAGAGATGGGCACCGTGTCTCGGTGTGAGGCTCCTGGCACAGCTGTGTGTGGATGTGTGCAAATGAAGGCCGGTGTGTGCCTTCACCTTGATTTGCCTGCATGCTTATAATTTCACTGTGTGTGTGTGTGTGTGTGTGCACACTTGCTCACATGTGTCAGTAGCACACTGCATAGTGGGGCAGTGATGGCGAACCTATGACACACGTGTCAGAGGTGACACGCGAACTCATTTTTTTGGTTGATTTGTCTTTGTTAATTGGCATTTAAATATATAAAATAAATATCAAAAATATACATCTTTGTTTTACAATAGTTGCAAATATCAAAAAATTTCTATATGTGACACGGCACCAGAGTTAAGTTAGGGTTTTTCAAAATGCTGACACGCCAAGCTCAAAAGGTTCGCCATCACTGCAGTAGGGTATGTAGTGGAAAGACCCATAGGCTGGGAATCAAAATACTTCAATTTTTATTCTAAAGGCCTCACTTCCTGGCTCTCCCCTGGTTAGATAACCTCTCTGAGCTTCCGATTTCCCGCCTGTCTAATGGAAAAAGAATAATGCCATCTCTGCTTCCTGTAAAGTGTAAGAATAAAAATGAAATAATGTACGTGAAATGCTTTGTTAATTACCATGTACCATAGATTTGAGAGATTATTATCACCATAGTCCAGCTCATCAGAGTGAGAAGTTGTATGTGACTTAAAATAACCCACCCAGTGAGCTGAGTTAAAATGTAGGTCAAAGCGTAGCCTCAGACATCGAGAGGGGCTGATGGTAGCTCCCTAATCTAACAGGCCACCACATGTGAAGGTGCTTTGAAAGCTGTAAAGAGTTACATATGTAAATGTAAAGTGACATGATTATATTTAAGCCTGGAGAGCACACTGGAGTCATAATGATCAGAGTGGCACTGGAGCCTCCTGCATGGTTGCACTTGTGCAGGCTAGTGGATTTGTACGTGTGCCTCTCTGTGTGTATGAACTCATTTATTGAGCACCTACTATGTGGCAGTCACACATCAAGTATTTTTGAGGGCCTTCCCGATGTCAGGTGCATCAGTCTCAGCACTGGGGGTGCCAAGGTGAATAAGACACAGTCCCTTACCTCAAGGAGCTGGTGGCCTGGCTAGGACAGTAGTGGCAGTTACAGTGCTGGATGGTGGGTGCTAAAGGAGAAGGACCTATGAATTCATTCTAAGTGGGGGATGGGAGGAGGAGGTCCAGGAGAAGGGAATCCAGGAAGTAAGCTGGAAAATTCAAGGTCTGCTGGCCAACCAGAGGGAAGGTAGCTGGGGTAGAAGGAAGGGTTTATGCCAAGGTGCTGGGGAGGGAAGCAGCCCGCTTTCACACCTGGTGCTGTCTGTTTGCACACAGGTGGGAGGAAGGCAATGGAGAGAGGAGGCCCAGGCTGTTGGCCGGATCCTGAGGGGCCTCCTTCACACGGGCTAAGGAGCTTGGCTTGATCCTGTGGGCTCCTGGGAGCCCCTCAGCAGGGGCTTAAGCTCTGCGAGTGACATAATCAGCTTTGCCTTTTGGAAAGATCGCGGAGCTCCAGTGTCCCTGAGCATCTCCCTGCAGCAGTCGCAGCCAGATGGCGGGTGTGTCTGTCGCAGTGAGTGATGGCTGCATATGCAGGGCCCTGAGCTGGGGTCTGCATGGGGCAGGAGGGAGGACGGGGCAAGGAGGGAGTGATGCACTTTTTGAGAATAGTTCTGGTTGGGATGTGCTGTGGGAGCGGAGGAGGTTAGCCATTCTTGAGTGAGTATCACATGTCAACTTCCCATATTTATTACCTCATTTAATTGTAACATAGCTGTGAGAGAGCTATTATCAGCCCCATTTTGTAGGTGAGAAAAGCGAGACCCAGAGAGGTTAAACATTCTTGAAGTTATTTGTAGTAAAGGGCAGAGCCAAAAGTCCAGCCCGCCTCTGCCCTCCCAAAGACCACCGAGGTAGAAGGTCGGCCCCTCCTGCCGGTTCCCAGTGGAAGGGAACTAATTAGTTCCCTTACTTGACAGATGAGGAAACCAGCCTGGGCTCAGATCTGTTCCTGCTAAATTCGTTACTGGTTTCCAGCTGCTCCCAGTCCTGTGGGTCAGCGTCTCCCCTTTCAGAGTATTAGCGATGCTTCCTAATTCGGTGCTACTTGCAGATTTGATAAGCATATTTTAAATTCCTTCGCTCAGCAAAGATATTGAATGAAACGGGTCCCATGTCAGAGGCGAGAATGAACCCCTGGCTACGCCCTGCCTCCTCGAGGGACGCGGCCCCGCGCCACCTGCTCACCCTTCTCGGTGGCTTAGCCCCTGGCTGGCCGTGTGAACACAGTCAGGGCCGGAGCACCAGACACCGCTTCCCTCTTTGCCCTGTGACTTATGACTACATCGAGGAAGAATGAAATGTTGACTGAGAACAACATGCTTTTCACAAAGCCGTGCTCCAGGGCCTGAGGGGAAGGGCCTGGCGTCACTCAGACCCGGATGCGAGTCCTAACCCAGGCTCTCATGGACCTTTGGTTTCTTAAGCACAGCCCAGGGCTGCCCGCGGCCTGAATGCTGGTCCAGGCATAAAGCACCTTGCCCCACGGTGGCCTGAGGCACAGGCTCAGTCCACGGCAGCCTCCCTGGCGATCCCCACACTCTCAGCCGGGTCAGCACCTGGACAGGTGGCGTGGCATCAGCGCATTCCACCCCTTTCTCCTGGGCTGAGCTGCATTCAACAGGGGAAACAAGGCGCTGAGCACATGTGGCCTCATGTGAGGAGTAACAGTCCGGCACATGGCACAGGGGCCCCCAAAGGCTTTCTCCACGTGCCGATGGGAGCTGGGGCTTGCCGGTCCTGAAACATCAAGGGCCTTTGTTTGGGACCGTTTCTGCATAGTAATTGGGGTTCCTTCTTGCTGACCAGATTAAGTGATAAAAAGTAATCGTGCCTAATTTATAGAGCAATTATAAGAATGAAACAAGAGAATGCAAGTACAGAGCTTCAAAGAGCACCTGGCAGATCATCAGCACTGAATGCATCTGGGCCAAAAGAGATTGGGAAGCAGCGAGATCGGGATCCAGCCAGAGCCGCGGGTTCCTGGCCAGCCACTGATTCATAACATGGGTATCCGAGGAGGTCCTTCCAGCCCCGAGGCTTGGAATGCTCTTGGTCCTCTTTGCTGTTGCCTCTGCCCCTCTCTCTCCCCTCCACACAGGACCTGGTGCCCTGCCTCCCTAATCCTCTCTAAGCCAGGACCCAGATTCCTGGCCTCCCACCATCTCCCCTAAGGCTAGCTCCCCTCGCTCTGCTGTGGCCCACATTTACTCAGCGGACCCACCCTGGCCAGAGCAGAGGAGCTCAGACCCCCAAAGCTTGCCTCCTCCCAGCTTCCCCAAGAAGCCCCCCCTATGGCTGGGAGGCTGCAGGGAGAAAGGATGCTGGGCAGGTGCTAGGGAGATACCGCATACACAGATCTCTCTGTGCACGCCCAGCCACAGCGTGGCCACCTCAGCCCGTCGACCACAGCTCTGCACCCCACCTCCTGATCCTGGGCTCTGGGATTGCTCTCCGGGGAAGGGGTCTCACCCCTGTCATTTTCTTCTCTATTTTATCCGCAAAATATTTCCTGAGCACCTACTCTGTGCCAGTTAGGCCCTGGGGCCCTGCCCTCCACAGGCAGCAGTGGGGATGGCTATTATCCACGCCGGTATTTCTCAAACCCCCTACAGGGCTGGTTACAGCATCGATGGCTGGGCCCTTTCCCCAGAGTTTCTGAGTCAGCAGGTCTGGGGGGGGGGGGGGGGAGGGGGAGGCCCAAGCTTTTGCATTTCTAACCTTTTCAGGTGCTGG